GTCAGGGCGGCTAGGGTCTGGAACCAGCTTCCATGTGAGGTGGTGCAGGCTCCCACCCTGGGGGTTTTTAAGAGGAGGGTGGATGACCACCTTATTGGGGTCATTTGACCCCAGTGCTCTTCCTGCCATGGCAGGGGGTCGGACTAGATGATCTGCTCAGGTCCCTTCCGACCCTAGAAACTATGAAACTAAACTATGAAACTATGGATACAGCATCGCACTAAGGGCTCACATTCATACTGTGGGTCTATTCTTACCCCTAGGTCCCTTTCAGTCATGGTGCTAGTCAGTTTGGCACAACTGAACCTGTAAGTATGTTGGGGATTGTTCGTCCCCAGTTGGAGCACTTTACACTTCTCAATGTTGAACTTCATGTGGTTCCAATCTGCCCAACTTGCCAGCCTGTCCAGGTCCACCTGTATCTGCAGCCTATTTTCAAATGTGACCATGCTCCCCCTTAACTTAGTGTTGTCCACAAACTTGGCCAGTAAGAAAAATGAAATTAGAATCAAGACCTAAGGAAAACTTCCACTTATTTCAATGTAAAATGGTATATATCCACCATCTTAATTTAACTGAAGCATTAGTTTGAAGGCCTAGAGTAGGGATAGGCAACACCCAGCACATGCCAAAGCACGGCATGCAAGGCCATTTTACTCAGCACACCTCCAGCCACCTGGGCTCTGGGCAGCTGCTGCCAGCCGTGGAGCCTAGGCTGCTCTTAGCAGGCAGCTGGGAGCCTGCAAGCTTTGCTGCAACCAACCTGAGCTCCACGGCTGGCAGCAGGGGCAGTACCAGCCTCTTCCCAGTGGAGGGGGTGCTGTCAGGGGAGGTGGAAGTAGGGTGAGCTCAGGTATGTGCGGTGGGAGGCAGTGGCCCTGGTGGTGCTGAAAAAGTTGCTACAGGGAGGAGGGGCTAAGGTGAATTTTGGGGTGGCTATAGCCCCCACAAGTCTCCCCTAGTGCCACCCCTATGCACCGGGCTCAGAGCCCCAGCTGGGCTTTGTGCCAGCGGCAGCTACAGCACCCCTCTGGGGGTGGGCAGAGGCCTGAGAGAGTGCACGCATGCATGCCTCTGGGTTGTGCTGCCCAAGCCCAACCCCCACCCTCAGGGCAGATGATGGGGGAGGGGCCTGAGGTAGGGGGGCAGGGAGAGTGCTAGTGCCCCCCCCACCCTAAAATTGTGTGACTGGTTGCTGGGGGACATGTGCCCCTCCCCCGGTCGCTGGCTGGCTGGCTGGGAGACCCAACTCGGGAGGCACCAGTTGCCCATGCGCAGCCACCGCAGTTTCTCTACATTGCAGTAATTCAGAGCTCCCTTCATTCTGAACCTAGGTATTCTCTCCTGGTCTTACTTCCAAACTGACACAACTGCTCTGTTCCACTGATACTAATCCTTGCCCTCCTGCTGACTTTCTACAGTTAAGTGAATTTATGCCATTTGTACTACTGCAGTATCTAAAGCTACCACAGTGCATCAGTCAAGTAGTCCTTGTTCAGTGTCTTGTCTTCAGCAGCATGCTTCAGAGACGGGCACAAGACATGCAGTAGTATAAAATAGCAGAGCATTCTTTTTACTGGTTGACCTTATACCCCAAAGCAAATTTAAAACAAATGCTCTCACCCAACTTAGTTAAATCATGAAAATCAGTTAATCACAAATGTCCAATAAGCTTTCAAACACTGTTAAACTCTTAGCTTCAATACCACCTTGTGACATTGCCCCAGTCTTTGGAGCTCACTAAACCATCATTTCCTTTCCTTGTTTTAATATAAACGTTCAGCGGTTGCATTGGTTTAGTCGGAAACATTCATTTTCATTGTATGAAATTCTTTATTAAATGGATTTTCTGTATCAAAGAATCCAGAATGATGCATTAAAATTAAAAGGCCAAGCTCCCTCATTTAACAATTAAAGAGTCTAAAATAGATGCTCAAAGTTCACAATATGGACTATGTATTAAGAACTCACAATTTCCTATTACTGACTGTACAATGTCCTTGTAGCAATTACAGCAATTATGTAAATGTTAAAGCACTAATATACTTTATTTATTATTAATAAACTGCTTTTCAAGAATGGAAGAAGGGAAGAGAATGGCCTAAGCAACTTGATTGCCTTCTATGATAAGATGACTGGTTCTGTGGATGCAGAGAGACCAGCTCATGTGGTATACCTTGACTTTAACAAGGCTTTTGATATGGTCTCCAACAGCATCCTTACAGACAAGCTAAAGAAGTACAGGTTGGACGAATGGACTGTAAGGTGGATAGAAAACTGGCTGGTTCATTGAGCTCAGAACGTAGTAATCAATGGGTGGGAGCCAGTATCAAGTAGAGTACTTGAGGGGTTGGTCCTGGGGCCAGTTTTGTTCAATATATTAACCAACCATCTGGAGAATGAGATGGAGAGCACCCTCAGCAAGTTTGCAGACGATACCAAGCTGGGGGGAGTAACAGATGCACTGGAGGGTAGGGCTAGGATTCAGAGGGGCCTCGATAAATTGGAGGACTGGACTAAAAGAAATCTCATGAGGTTCAATAAGGACAAGTGCAAAGTCCTGCACTTAGGACAGAAACAATACCATGCACCAGTACAAACAGGACTGACTAGCTGGCTGAGAAGTAGCTTTGCAGAAAAGGAAATGGGGGTTAGAGTGGACAAGAAGTTGGATATAGCCAAGTAGCTGAACTAGCCAACAGTGTGCCCTTGTTGCAAAGAAGGCCAGCAGTATACTGAGCTGTATTAGTAAGACTGAGGGAAGTGATTATTCCCCTCTATTGGCACTGGTGAGGCCACATCTGGAGTACTGTGTCCAGTTTTGGGTCCCCCTCTACAGAAGACATAGTGAAATTGGAGAGAGTCCAGTGGAGGACAACCAAAGGGGTGCACAGCCCCAGCAGGCAGAGGCAGGGGCGCTCCTGCCCAGCACACGTGCTCGTGCGTGATGGTGCACAACTACAGCCAGCCCAAAAAGGCCTATTGTTTATATACTATAAAGTAAGTTTATATTGCCCTTTGGAGGAAAAAAACATTATAACAAAACAAGATATAGATATTGGATCAAAAGTTAGCAATGAAAATTGAGAGGTCATCTCAAATAGACAGTCCTCACAGATCTATGTGCATAACAATTGTTTAAGTGATGGTATCTCACCACACTAAAACATTTTTATAGTACAGCAATGGCTAAGTGGTGGAGGGAGTGTGGCCAGATGGGAGATTCTAGCACATATGGTGGACATGTGCTAGAATCAAACTATTCTGGAAAAAGACTGGAGGTATGATAAAGGAAACAGGATACTAACTATCGGATAAGCCTTTAGCATACCCTGTAAGTAGGGACCTACTGAATTCACGGAGGAAGTAGAGTGTGCAGCAGCATGTTCCCCCGTATTCACCTTACCCCTTCCTACCCCTCTCCCCCGGCTGCTGATTAGCAGAGGACCCTGCCACTCCCTCATCAGCAGGGAAGCTAAAACCAGAGTTTTAAATATGGCACTGTTTTTAAACCAGTCAGCAGGAAACAGCAGGGCCATCCAGGCACCTCAGCCAACTGGTGGCCGGACGCCCTGCTGTTTAATTTTGCCTCCCTGATGGTCAGGAGCGAGCCGCAAGCACAGCCCCTCCACCAATCTGAGAGTGGCAGGGGGTGCCACAGGGGAACCTGCAATATTAAAGGAGCGCACCTCACTTCCACCACGAGATTCTATTACATATAGAACACGTACAGAGGAAATAATAGCTCATCAATCACAACTGCAAAAACCTGGACAAAGTATGATACCCCTAAAATTGCTAATTGGCTTCACAAAGTTTGGGAAGTTTTAGTAATTGAAAAGCTGTTATCAAGTCAGTGTTCTACAGGAGAGAAAAATAAAATAAGATGCTTACTTAAAATGTGGTGAAAGTTTTTGGAATCTGTTGGGAAAATAATCTTGCACCTCCAAAAAAGTCTAAAATTTTTTTTTTTGAATACTGAAGGAGTGCAGTTTCTATGAACTAACAGTCAAAAAGTTGGAATGAATTTGATACCCAAAAGCAGAGATGGGTAGAAGATAGACTTATTTTATGTAGAATTCTGAGGAAAAGGAGGGATGTGAATTATTAATTAGGTTACATATAAACATGAAAACACAGAAACTTGACACCAACTATAAAATGTAAAATGTTGTTAGCAGAATGTAGGAATAGGAAGGAACGCAAGACTCCCCCTGTGGACATTGACTTCGATCAAAGGAGCATTGCTGTTGGAAGACAAATATCTGTTTTTGTATACACTTTTGGGGATTTAATGTTTCTTTAAAGGTTATATTTTGTTTTTTGATCAATTGGATTCATTATAATAAATAGTTAAAAAACAGAATAGTACAAAGATAGGAACTAGTAAGTGATGATAGTACAAAAGTTTAATTTACATGCAACATTTATGATGCACAAGACAACAAAATACAAATTTAGGCATTTATTTTTGTTCAGATATTTTTGAAATATGGATAGCATTTAGAAGAGAGACATACAGCCAGTTTCCCATGCACAAACATTGACATTTACTAACTACTACTGGTGTGAAACAGACTACAGAAAAGACATACTTACATGACACTGGATGAATTTTACCCTAGTCGCTCCAAAAAGAGAGCCATCAGCTGACATGACTAAAAATCATGATTATAGCCAAAGAACAGGGAGAACTGTTTAGACAACAGCACGCAGACTGCTGAAGTTACCGTACATAAACATGGAAAGTTAACTTCACGAAATCCTGATTCCTTTGTTGTTTGTATTAAAAATGCATCTTTAGTTTACAAATTAATATTTAATTAATGTTGTCTCAAATAAACTACTGGACTGCCATGACAGAGCAGGGGCTTAGTGCAAGGACCAGGCAATTACTGTATGTGATAACAGGCATTCTGGTAGAACTTAAGAAAAGAGCTCTACTGTTCAAACTGTATTTCAGAAATCATTATAGTTATTTCTGGAGATGTATAGTATCACATGCACCATCTACATCTTGCATTGTTCTGTTTGCAGGAATGATTGATTAAATTCCTATTCTTTACCCTACCAAACTATAGCGTAGTGCTAAGGGAAACATTACAAGAGGCACATTTCTCTGTATGGCTAGTCAAATGAAGCAGACAGCATAGCAAGTTGTGTCTATTGTAAACAACATCCTGAAAGTAAGCTGTAATTAAGGATCCCTAGAAGTATTGCAGCCACTTATGTAAACAGTTTATGAAACGTCTTTGGCACAACAAAGCATTTCCCTCGTGATTAATAAATGCAACACTTGCATGCACTTACATTTTGTTTAAAAAGTTATCAATGGGACTAATAAGCACTACCTTGACTAGCAAAATTCTTAGATAAAGGATTCAGTACATTTTACAAAGAATTAAGAATATAGTTTGCAATACAAAAATTAATTTGCAAACTTTAAAAAGGGTGGGACCATCTGGAAAGTCTAGTTTTGTTTTAAAATCCTTTCAGATAATTCGTATCAATAGTTTAATCAGTGACACAGTTTTAAAGGATTCACTTAAGTGTTACTAAACTGTATAATCAAGAAAATACCTATCAAACTACTTCATGGATGAGAACAAAAATTAAATGTAAGAATATGGCACTCAATTAGTCAATCTTCCAATCTAAATTTAAGTTTTTAAAAAAATGCCCTGAATTCTTTACAAGTAAATGTGAAAAGAGATCCCTCCTTCCCTCCCCCCAGCTATTATAAGTGCTAACACTACCCCATTTCTTAGTCCCATTCTTTGACCTTCCTCTACTCTTTGCATTAAGGGAAGATAATGCCAAAAATCAAGCTTACCCACTTTTCACATTGCTAAGTTTTCCCTAACTCAGACTATGCAAATCATTTATCGACTTGCCTTCAAATCCTTTCATAAGCTTGGACGTAGCCCTGTTACTCTGTCCCATGATCAAGAAGTAGGGATATATTCTTCATGATAAGAAACTATATAAACATTGGTCATCTCCAAGTGGCATAATGATAACTGGGATACAAATATAACATTTAGTCAATGTTTCAAAAGAAGCTGAATAAATCATCTCAGTAGAATAAAATAAATTATTTGAAAATTTATATAAATAATAGAACACAAAAAATACATTTTTAAACATAAAATATTTAGTAATTAAATATTTATTCACCTGTCAAGACTGGATTTCATGCCTCTTCTGCAAATGTTGGCAATATGTATAACTGCAGAGAAGTGCTCTGGTTAAGAGCAGGGGGAGGTTAACTCCAGCAGGGTAACATAGATCATGGCAGTTATATAGAAGGCTAATTTAATTTGGTTGTTTTTGTTTTGTTTTGTTTTTTTACAATGTATTAATTCATACCTTTATCGCACAAAATTCTGTGCCTGACTGAGAATCTCAACTAATAAAAGGTTTCAAAAAGGAAATCTGGACATTCCTATTAAAGAAGAACAACAAAGGATGTGATAGATAACACATATATTATTTGTGGTTTTTTTAAACACATAATTACAGAAAAGGACAAAATAAAGCAGCGGATTCTTTAGCTTGCTTGAATTTTTAAATGTCTTCATAGCAAGTCTAATTATGGAATGTAAATTGAATGCATACAACATAAAAGCCCTTCATTACGTATATCTACTCAGGATGGAGTTAGACCTGGACTTGTCATCTCTGTTGTGGGACTCGCAAGATATTCACTTGATTTCAGACTTCTGAGAGATTTGTAACTTGCTACTGACGTCAGAGAGCCACAAAGACCAAGCAGTGATGGGGTGTCCTCTTTCCCTGTTCAAAAATAAATTAGTTAATCAGTATTATAGTGCAAGTCTTACACTAGATTTACCTGAACTTAGGTAACATTGAAGAAGCAGAAATCTAGAAACTTTATATATTTTGCTTCATCACAAATGCTACAAATACAACTGTGTGCAAAAATGCATCAAGTAATTTGACAAGGTTCTTTGGGTAAATCTGATACCTTTTATCAGACCAACTCAAATAGTTGGAAAAATTCTTTGCAAGCTTTTGGGTACCAATACCTTTTGTCAGGTTGAGGAAGCATCTGCAGTTGATCCGTGCTCTTTTGTACCCAAAAGCTTACAAAGAAGAATTTTTCCAAACATCTGAGTTAGTTTCATAAAAGATCAGATTTACCCAAAGAACCTTGTCTACCTATGTCCTTAGATCAACACGGCTACAACCTATACCCCTCAAGTAATTTGAGGAATGCAACTATGCCCTACATCAAAAGTGATTTACACAGCTGTGTAGTACTACTCCAATAATAACTCCAGTTCACAGCCTTCCTCCACCCCTCCAAGCAGACTATTGGTAGTTTCATGGAGTCTTTTTTTCTGATATTTAGCTAAGCCTGCATCTGCTCCTTCTTCAGAGCTAAGGAAGGGCACTTGATGCTTGTCTAATAGCTCTCCCAAATATATAGTTGGTTCCAATAAAAATATAATACAAAAAAGCCTTGTCCCAGACATTTCCTGACTACCGTGGCTACAACATTCCAAACCTACATCGGTATTAATCACGTATTAATAGCATGTTGCCAAAATAACATTATAACTAGAAATATGCTGCTTCGAATCTCCACAGAGGAAAAAACACTGAAATCAGCCATTGCTATTTTGAACAGGTTTCTTTTTCATCCTTCTTAATACTTTCCCATTGAAAAGATACTAGATTTATAGTCCAAGAAGATGGAATCATAAGGTACACTGGCTTGCACAAACTCTCACGTACTATCCTACCATGCCTAAAACCTGATCTGAAATCTAGATGAGGCTAAGTGAAGAATATACCCATGATCCCTACCCTGCTTAGATTGCCAACAGTGGAACTAATTAGTGCCAGCTGTAATGATTTACTTTTGATGCAGACACCTGTCCACAAAGATCATCGTGCCTTCCTCCTATGCCAACAGACACCAAAACAGTGATGAGTACAGTTTGGGTGACTGTCAGCTTGAATTGAATTTGAAAGCTGACAGAAGGCCCAGGAACTTACAAACCGGGCCACCAAAAGGGAGCTACTAATTTTTCAGTGCCTGAAGTAGGGGTATTCATGTCACCTGGCAGGGGTATTAGGAATATCAAGATGGAAATGGTTGCTGCTGGGTATTCAGAGTGGCATAGTACCCTCTAAGGCAGCAGCTGGATTTGACAACTGAAAAGTTAGATTTCAACTTCTACAATGACCTTCAACACTTTATACTAGGGGTGCACTGATAGAGATTTTGGGGGGCCAATACCAATAGCCAATATTTAAGGAGGCTTATCAGCTGATACTGATCAGATCCAATACAGCTGCCATCAGGTGGCAAGTCTCTTGTGATAAGCCCCTCCCCACTTTCCTTCCGACTGCCCAGCTGGAGGCAGCTCTCCACACTGCCCGCTCTGCCCCGTGCTGCGCTGCAGCTGTGTACAGCACAGGCGTTTATCGGGCCAATATCTGATATAGACAATTATCTTCATATCAGTACTGATCAGATATCAGATATTTATTGGTGCACCTCTACTTTATACACAAATTTACAAAACTACATCTTCAAGTCTTCAAGCATTATACAAGTAGTATTGGTTGCTGGGACACAGGCAAGGTAATACTGAATTGAAATAGTTTGTTTTACAAGTACAGATTACTACAAAATCTGAACAGTATTTAGAGATTAACTTCAAGTATCTGTAAGAGCTTTTAATAGCTTGACAGATCTATTCCTGAATAGATAAGTAAACTGTTGTCAAATGTAGTAAACATGCCAAACACTGTTATAAGCATAGGAGAACATGTAACATGTCAGCCCAAAAGGATTATCTTTGCTGAATTATTCTCAGTTGATAATAAAAGATGTACACAGAACTCTTTTCAACACTAGCCACTGTCAGATCAGCATTGGTAGCTCAACTGCTCTAAGCCAGCTAGGCTCTGTTTACATCACCCTTTTTAATTATTATTATTATTATTATTATTATTTATTTTTTTTTTTTTACTTAGGGGGAGTAAATGGCGGGGGGGG